TGAATGTCCGTCATTTTACCCCCCCCCCCCCCTTTTCCAACTGGTGGTGGTGGTGGAGGGGGGGGGGGGGCTTGTTAACGGACTTTTGTATGTATTGTCTTATGTTTAGTGTAGCCCACATGTTTTGTATTCAAAGGTCACTGGCCCATCTCGTGTATGTAATTGTATATATGTCAATTAATGAATGTCAATCAATTCAACATTGTTGATGAAAGTATCATTTCTTTTGAGAAAACGTAATATCAAAATACATGTTGTATTTTATAACTTACTAGGTTATAACCCGTGTACTACACGGTTAACAATGTAAAATAACATAAAAACTACAAAAATCGTGATCATTAATCATATATATACAAACAATTATTTATATACAAATTTTTATGTTTTGTATGTAATTTTATCATATTTATTTTAAATTAATATGTTAAATGGTTTGAAACTTGCTTGCTATTTACATAAAAACACGTAGACATATTTCATACTTTCGAAAATTGGTTGCTATTTTTCCAATAATATTTCCCCTGGAAAAAAAAAACTGAAACTTTGTTGCCTAAAACCATAAAAAAAAAAACTTTCTTATTATTTTCGCGTACTTTTCAAACTTCGTTGCTATTTTCTTCAATACTCTTTACGTAAAAAGCTAAATTTTTCTTGTGTCAAAACGAAAACAAAAAAAAAAGCAAAAAAACAAAAACAAAACCCTTTTTGTTAAAACAATCAAAAACAAAAAATTAAAACTTTGTTGCTACACATGCTATACTTTTTAGTATCAAGAAATTATCACGAGATCATTTTAAGCTTAAATTTACCATTTTAATCCATGTTCTTTACCCAATTTTATTAACTGAAAAACTGGTTCAATTCTTATGAATTTTCTTTTTTATGTTTTTATCCCACTTTAATTTTATAATAACTGGCTCAATTCTTATGAATTTTCTTTTTTATGTTTTTATCCCACTTTAATTTTATAATAACCAGTCAAACCCCAAAACCAACTCTCCCTGTATCTACTTTAAAATCGCATAATTTATAGTTATTTTTTACGAATTTAACTTGTAATGGTAAACCGCATATTTAAGATGTTTTGCAAGTAGATTTAAGGTGTTGGCTGAGTAGAAGAAACCAAAAAGGTTGTAGTAAAGCAAAAATGAATCTACAAATCATTTAGACCACAAGAGACTTGAAAACATTGGTATAGAGTTTAGTGGAATAAGTGGCCAATAGGCACAATAAGAAGGTAACTTTTCAATATGCATTAAAGAAATTCACCTGGTTTTTAATAAACTATGAAATTAAGAAGCTAAATAATTGAGTTTGGAGGTTGTGACCAAGCTCATTAGTACTTCCTTCAACAAATAGTATCTCCAACCTTAGTATTATCACTGAATTGCAACAACATCAACAATAAAACAAACATAAATAATTTAAAAGATGAACAAGGGTAGCATGATATACCTCAATAACTTTTTGGCTTGGTTTTATTCATGTCTAGGAAGCACCAATAACGACATATGACTTGGAACATCTCAAAATGTGAGCTCTACCACAATAAACTTTAGGGTCAAACTATTTTTTGGAATTTTCATAGAAATTCAAAATAAAATCATTCTTAACTCCATTTAAAAGAGTTATCTTAGCAATAATCCAAGAAACAAAAAGATGCAACTTAGTAGTTAAATCTTTTAAATAATAAGATTTATGATTAAATGATAAATGTGCAAAAAACTTTAAGCTCTGATTAATCAATCACACATCTAATACCCCTTTTTTATTCATAATAAACATAATCAAATACCTTTTTTCTTATAAAAAATCAAATACATTAAGCACCTAAGGATAAAGAAAAGCATAACAGTCTAACATGTGTTTGCACATCTCAGGGGGCATTCAACCAAATCCATCACCTAAGAGTCCAACATGTTTTACATGATTAAGGGTTGCTTCATGCCAAACCAACAGAAGGGTAGTGTAGTAAAGTTATACACATGCCAAAAAGATACAATCACTTTCAGATAACATGTTGAAAAAAGGCCCCAAAAACACAAACATAGAATTTATTCTAAAATATTTATTCTTAATTCATGAATCATAATGAAGAAGATCATATGGAAAATAGATTGCCAAGGAGATAACCTTGAAAACAGAATTAAATATGCTATAATTTTCAAATGGATTTTTGGATGGAGCTACAATTGAATGTTCTGGAATTTTGTGTAGTTGCAATGTAACTTCTGCTATCACATCATATATGACTTCAATTCAAACCATCAACCGTGCAAGATCATAACCGCATAGAGATAACTTGAATAACATGAAGAAAGTTAATAAAAAATGCATGATGAGTAAGAACACAACGATTTGAAGGTACCACAAGGCCTTCGCTGGGGAAACAAATGTAGTCGAAAACGATAGGAGGAATCTTGAACTCACTTTGGATCATCGTCCGTATCTTCGTTTCTTCCTTCACTTTGTAACTTAAGGTTTAAACATAATGACTTATTAAGGATTCTTTATTGAATAATTCAATTTGACACTTCAACCATTCCAAACGAATTAAACCCCAAGTTACCTTTTGATTGTTGCCCAAAAATCAGATAAGTTGAGTCCATCAGAACGAACACCCCACCGTAGTGGAATCTTGATGTGTTTACTTGACCCAAACCCCCTAACATGTCAAGCCTCATTTTGATGTCTTCATGACTCATATGTGATCAGAAACTAAGAATCTAAAGATGAAAAGCATGGAACGAAAATGATTTAATACCCAAAACCAATCATATTACATGTGCAATCGAAAGAAATATAGTGCATATTAGATTACGAGTCTTCACAATTTGAGATCGAACAACCAAAAATCAATAAAAATATAAATCATATCACAAAACCTGCACAATATATTAAATTAGGGTTTTTGAAGAAAGATGGCGTTGATTTAGAGAGGAAGAAAGAGAAACACCTAAAGATTTCAATTGAGAGTTAGTAAGATTACGGTCAAAGATCTTTAAATCAAATCATTGTTGATTTTATGGGATTGAATGAATTACATTAAATTCTAATTTCCATTCAATTCAAATCAAAATGGGAATAAGAGAGATATGATAAGATTTTAGCAAATAAGCGGGAAAACATTTTTAGATTGTTGTGAAGCTGACATGTGGCAAAACTAAAGGTTTAGAAAGAGGACATGTGGCACCTTAGAGAGGTTTTTATTAGGAAGAGAGATTATGTCTATGTCCTCAAACTTGGCTATAAATACAAAATTATTAGTTGTTTGCGAGCACTTGGCGAGTTTACTTGCAAGCTAACTTCTAAAATCGATTGTACGTAAAGCAGGGACGGCCCTGAGATTTCGGATGCCCCGTGCAATTTAACAAAAAAATAGGCCTTAAAACTTAAAGGTCGAAAAAATTAAGCAAAACAGTAATAACTTTTCATTTTCTATTGCAAAATACACAAAATTAAGATTTCATTCAAAATAATACAAAAAAAAGTTGCTTCTGCTTGAAAACAATCATCCTTCTAGTATTTGTTGAAATAAATTTCGCTTCTACTTGAAAAAAACCATTTTTCTACTTGAAAACAGGCAAAAAGTCATCCATTTAATATGTATTGAAATAATCTGTAAAAAGATCAGAAATTAAATCATCAAGATATATTACATTATCTGGAAAAAAAACTATGATAAAAAACAGAAGTCCATAAGATATGGAATAAAAAAACTTATGATAAAAAAACAGAAATCAGAACATCAATTCCTAATTTTGGACCCTTCAATACAATCTAAAACTGATTTTGGACCATTTAATACAATCTGAAAACGAAGACATTTGTTTCAATGTGTCTGAATTTGAGAAAATCAAAATCATAAACATTAAACAATAGAAAAAAAACTGATTTAATATTAACAATATCTGAAATGTAAATGTATAATACATTCTGCCTTCTGATTTTCGACAGTTCAAGAATTAAGACAACCAAGATATTAGAAAGCCCGATTGACAGTCAAATCAATATATTATTGTTTGACTTGTTTCAATGCTACTATCTGGATGCAAGAAAATAAGAATGAAAAGAATGAAAAAAGATTTACTTCTAAAAGTCTAAACAGTTAGTAGAATTCAGAGATAGAAACCTGAAAAAAAAATAAGAATAATAGTAAAAGTTTATTTACCTTTTGGTTTTCTTCTTTATGCTCGGATTATAACTTTCAAACCTCTATTCCCCTTTCAATTTACTTGTGATGCACTAAAATAGGAAGCAATTGAGCAAAATAAGATTGCTGCTAATGAATTTCAATTGAATGGGTTATGAGTATTGAGTATTTTCTTGTGATTTATGAAGAAAGAAGTAAGAAGAAAAAACCAAAAATCGATTCAATATGTATTGAGGGTCGAGGGATTTCTTCTGAATGAGTTTTTTGGATTCAAGGTTTTAAGCAATCAAGGGATAAGAAAAGACCCTAAGATCAAAGAATACCGTTTTTGGCTTAATGACTTGCGATAACAATAATTGGTGCACTACATCATGGATTTCTGATTCCCAATGTCGAGGACGAAGGAACCAAAGCGTCCATCTCTTTCCCTTAGAAAAAATATGGTTCCGCTTTCCGCTTAATCGATTGTGTCTATGTGTAATCTGTACATTGTTCTTGCTTAACCTATTTCCGCATTTGGGCCAAAAACCGAAGACGAGCTAAGATAATATCAGCTAAATTTTGGGCCCACGATTTTGGTGGGCCCTGTTCATGGGCACCTTTTGAACATGCCTTGGGCCAGCCCTGACGTAAAGTATGTTTGTCATGAATAAATGCCATTGGCGAGACCAAACTCATTGAAAACGCTACTTCGTGGTTGGTAAGCTCTGAACGACACCTCTAACTCGATCAACATTAAGTGCTTTTAAACTGCCAATAGAAAGGCAATTTACAAAACAACCCTTACATGATTTTCTATGCACAATGACTCGGGACATAATATTTTAGGGAATAACTCTTAACAAGATTTTGTCACTCTTATTAAGCGGAGATAACGAGCACCAGCGGCGACGCCGAAGTTTCAGATAAAAGGTAAGTTAACGAGGAGTGCTGGAGAAAATCCCTCGCAAAACCCTACCACTTAAATTTTTGAAAGGTACAGCAATTTCTGCGAAATTATGTAGTCATTTTGTAGAAATTGAGTGAGAAGCGATATTAATATGTATGTTTGACTATAGTAAGCTATAAGACATGACTCAATTGGTCAAGTGCATATATGTAGCTATAAATCTGTGATAATATATTTGAAATTACCTTCTACATGGTCATTGTTCATATCTGTAACTGTAACCATCTTCTTTCCTTCTGGTATGGATGCTGAATCACCCCCATCCTTACAATTGCCACAACAGTGCCATCAGTTTACTATTTCCGAGATTCACTTAGCAACCGAAAACTTTGATGGGTCATTGGTAATCGGGCGTGGGGGTTTTGGTATGGTTTACAAAGGAAACATCACTAGTGGGACAACTCATTTGGTTGCTGCCATTAAGCGCCTTGATCCAACCTCTAATCAAGGAGCTGTAGAGTTCAGGGCTGAAGTTGAGATGCTTTCTAATTTAAGGCACTGTCACTTGGTGTCTTTGATTGGTTATTGCAATGATGAGCAAGAGATGATCCTTGTTTACGATTATATGCCCCATGGAACCCTTGAAGATCATCTTCACAAGCATCTGACTCCTTTAACTTTAACTTGGTTGCTACGACTCAAAATATGTATAGGGGTTGCTCGTGGCTTAGATTACCTTCACACTGGTACGGGTGCTAAGCATGGAATTATACATCGGGATATCAAGAGCTCAAATATACTGTTAGATGACTGCTGGGCTGCTAAGATATCAGATTTTGGGTTGTCCAAACTAGGTCCAGTAAAACAAGCATCGACTTGTGTGAGTTATGTTAGCACTTTTGTGAAAGGCACTTTTGGATACCTAGATCCACACTACTTCTCAACAGGTCGGCTCACAAGAAAGTCTGACGTGTATGCCTTTGGGTAGTATTACTTGAAGTCCTGAGTGGAAAGCAAGCAGTGGATAGTAGTCTTGATGAGGAGAATTGGGGTTTAGTAAATTGGGCTCAAGAAGCTATGAAAGGTGGTAGGCTAAATGATATTGTTGATTATAATTTAAGGGAGAGAATCTTGCCTAAGTGTTTAAAGGATTTTGCAAGGCTTGCAGACAGGTGTTTGCATAGCAATCCAAAGCAAAGGCCTACTATGGCCGAGGTTGTGGCCTGTCTTGAGTATGTTCTAGCCTTACAGAAGAAAGCCACAAGCATGACATCTGCGCATAAAAGATTGAAATCTTTGGAGTTATACTTTGATACTGTTGGAGGTGAAATTCGAATATTACGCAGGTTTGAGTTTGGAACTATCAGTGCTGCAACTGAAAACTTCTCCGATGATAATAAAATTGCACGATGTAGCTTTGGTCCCTCCATGTACAAGGTATGTGTAATCATGTATCTAAGATAATTACATTATTTTCACGTTTTTAAAGGTTACTTAGAACTACAACGTAATTTTATCCTTTCAGGGAAGGCTACGAAACGGACAAGGAATAACAATTGCCAAACCTTATTCTAATTCCAAATACCAAGATTATAGAAATGAAGTGTCATTACTGGTAAAACTTGAGCATGAGAATATGATTCAGTTGCTTGGATATTCCATTCAAGGAACGCAAGTATTCCTTGTCTATGAGCTTGCAGTATGTGCAAGTCTAGATGGCTTGATTTTTGGTATGACTTTTCTTTCTGAAATGTACATCTCATGCTTGCTTGGTTCAACATAGGGCAGATTGCATCCTCTTGGGAACTCGTGATGGAGTTTAATTAAGAGAAATTAAGCAATCAATACTATTAAGTATTAACCTTGTTTTATCTAAAATTCATACTCGTATGAAAGATTGTAAATATTAGATTAAACTTGACAAAAATGTGCTCTATGATATGTCTTTGTAGATTCTGAATGTACTCTTTTGGATTGGAATAAGCGCAAGAAGATAATACTAGGTGTTGCAAGTGTACTTTTTTACCTTCACCAACATGATGTCATACACGGTAATGTCACACCTGGAAACATTCTTTTAGATGAAAGTTTCCACCCCAAACTGTCAGATTTTGCGCTTGCAAGATGTTTAGCAATAAACAAGGCTGATCGCATCGAAATGGATGCAATACGCGGGACTTCGTAAGTATAATTTTCTAAGCATATATGATTCAAAACTCATTTCCTTCTTGTTCTTGCACTACAATTTTTTTCTTTGTTGGGCCCATCTGAGAATGGAAGTTTATAAACCTAATGTGCCCCGCTTAAGTCCACACTGATTTCTTGTAACTCTAAAAAGCATCAGAAATGATTTGATTTTTCATATACTCTTCCATATCGGAAAAGGATATATGACTTGGTTTCAGTTGATATTAAGTGCACAGGTATTTTTAACACGACACAGTTGAATGGACGCGACTATTAGCAAAATCTCCATAATATCCCTTAATAATGATAAAGTTGAAAAATCTTGTCGACCATTAACAGTTTGATGGATAAAGATGATGCTATAGGTTGAACTGTGTTTGTGTTCTCTTTTTCTTATCATCCTTTGAATGATTTGTAGTAATGGTCCAAGCTAAAATTACCTGCATATGTGGCAGGGGATACATGGCACCAGAGTTACGTCAGGCTAATCGTATGTCAACAAAGGCTGATGTGTATAGTTTTGGTGTCTTGATTATGGAAACCATAACTGGGTGTAGTATGTACCAGTGGATATATGTACAAGATGTAAGTATAAGATTCTTGTTCGAGTTGTGCTTCTATAATATTATTCACACCCTACCTACATATTCCAAAAAAAACATATACTGTTTTTTTTAATATATATATATATATATATATATATATATATATATATATATTATATATATAATCTGACATGGATTTCATACAAATTTATTGCAAACATTTTACAACTCGTAACTTGCTTTTAAATCTTGGAAATTCATTTTTGGTTATTCTTGTTTTTTTTTAAACGTTTTATGGGTCTCAATTAGTGATGTAAAAGAGTAATGTTGTTTAACGAACATGTCGAATGGGCTACATGTAATGAATGAAGTATAAAGGACAATGATTAGAATGAAAGGCGAACTTATTTTATACTGAAAATTGTCAAGACATACTTTTTTTAGTGCAATGATGGGAGTATAACTATGGACATGTGGAACTGTTGTAGATTTGGACAAATTGGTTGGAAGGAACATGTTCAAATATAAAAGATCCTAGAATTGATGCTGATTCAAGCTCCATTACAAAATTCGTCCATATTGGGTTCCTGTGTGTTCAAGAAGATGCAGCTGACAGACCAACAATGGAGGAAGTTGTTTCCATGCTCACTAACAGTTCATCTCTCACTCTCCCTACACCAAAAAGAACTTTCATCACAGAAAAGTCTCCATATATCCCAAAAAGATTACTGTCCGGTTGGACGTTACACTCCCATGAATTTGAGTCACATGACTTTGATTCCATAGCAGTTGAGGAATTCATAAATGAGCTACGCCCTCGATAATGTCTTGCAGCTATTCATATAACAACTCAAATCTAATTATTGAAAATAGTGTGTCAAGTTACCCTTAAGCCGGTCAAGTGATCAAAGAAATAAGATCTATTAGGTAGCGTTTGGCAGGTTGGACTGGACTGGACTAGATGGGACAAAAACTTTTAGATAGTGTTTGACATGACTAGAACAAGAACAAAATTAGATTTTGACCAAGTCAAGTGGGACAACTTTCTTAAAATTTAGTCTCACCCAAAAGGATGGAACAAGATGGAAAGCACGTCTCAGAATTTCCAGTATAACAAAAATAACTCTGCCAAATGCTATCCTAACTCAAACTAAAATTGCACATATTGTCTTCTTCATCGTTCTTCATTGTTATCTAGCTCATACTTATTGCAGTCTGCATGTAAATAAACTAGACCATTGTCTTTTTTTTTTTTTTTTTTATCAATCGATTTGTGATTTGTCTCTGTTAATCTTCCTCTTTTTTTTTTATTAGGTAACGATGCTTCTCGATTACTGTAAGTTCAGAAATTTATTATATCTCTATAAAAATCTGAAGAGTTTAATAATTTTTACATTCCCGGTTCTTGATGATCGGTTTCACGGAAGATCTATCTAGTCAATTGCAAACAAACTAAAGAAATTGGTTTCATGGTGGATTTTGAAACCCGAAGAAACAAAAGAAAAAACCCTTTTGATACTGCAGTGTAATGGAAAGCTTAGGATGCGTTTGGTTGTAGAAAATTTTCCAAGAAAAACAGAAATTTTGAAAACGCGTTTGGTACGGTTCAATTTTCCAAAGTTTTCTAAGAAAATAAAAATTTTCAATTTTCCAAATTGTATGTAAAATTTGAAAAATGTTTTTTACAGTTTTCCAAATTTCTAAGATGGAAACTGAAAACTCCACCGGTTCCAACCAAACGCGTTTTCTAAAATTTTTCATTAAAAATGAAAACTCAACTCTATTTTCTGAAAACATTTTTCTTAAAAAATAAAAACAGTTTTCCACAATCAAACGCACCCTTAGAGTGCATTTAGTTGCGGAAAAATAGGTTGTTTTCCGGAAAAAATATCCAAGAAAAATGAGAATTTTGAAAACGTGTTTAATTCGTCTATTTTTCTAAATTTTTCACGGAAAATGAAAATATTCGGTTTTCTAAAATTACAAAGAAGTTGGAAATTTTTGGAAAACTGATAATCATTGTTTTCCATATTTTTCTAATTCCAAAATTTTTCGAAAATATTAACACATCCACTCCCACCCCATCTACCCTACCTTAACACCCTCAACTCACCACATCCCTACCTACCCACACCACCCCACTCCCAAGCCCACCCTCACACACACACACACACACACACACACACACACACACCAACCCTTATAAACACACCCACACACACACACCCACCCCTACCCAAACCCCTACAAACACACACACACCTACAAACACACATCGACCCCCACCCCCACAAACACACACACACACCCCTACAAACTCACACCCACACCCACCCCCACCCTCACCCCCCACAAACACACATACACCCACTCAACACCTGTAACATCCCAAAATTGAGACCCAAAATTTTTTGTTTAATTATATTACTTATAAAAATAGTTTACGGAAAACATCGTTATTATCATTTCAAAACATCAAGTCACAAATCACAAGTCTCAAAAACCATAACATCAAATAGTAAAACGTCAGAGTACAATCCCATGGTTCTCAAGCGGAAATCATGTGTGTGTGATGCGTTGCTACCCTGTCGGCTCCTTCCCTTAGCTGAAGAGGTACCTGAAACCCAAAACTAAAAACTGTAAGCACGAAGCTTAGTGAGTTCCCCATCATACCACATACCATACAACATACATATTGCCGGGCAATTCTGGGGTGCCCAACCTACCCATGTCAAGTCATTCTCGGGTGCTGACCTACCCATGTCAAGTCATTATGGGGTGCTGACCTACCCGTGTCAGGCCATTCTAGGGTGCCTGCCTACCCTCCGGTCTATCTCACCCGGTCACGGGGACTATTTCACCCAATACTACTACTACCACATAATGACATATCATAATCATGTTGTCAAACATATCTAGGGTGTTCGACCTATCCTTCGGCCCTAACGACCGAATCGGGGGACTATCCCCCCTACTACCACTATCACATAGAACATATCATACTGGCACATAGAACACATCAAGCAATAACAAACCAGACAATTATCACAAAGACAATCATCTTAACTGTAATCAACTACTAGTGGGTCAGCCTTGGTGCCTTTGACCCACTTCTACTGGAAGGTAACTCACCTCAATGTCGTGTAGTATCTGCACTGTCCTTGGCGTGAAAATCGACTCTCCTCGACTCCTAAATCCCTACACGACAACTTTTTCTAAGTTATCAATTCATACTCATGACCCTTGCAAGGGTCACTCAAGTCCAAGTCAAAGCCAAAGTCAAAACCCTGGTCAAAGTCAACTTTTGGTCAAAGTCAACATCTGGTTGACCAGACTCGCCGAGTTGGTCCACCAACTCGTCGAGTCCCCACGTCCACAAAATGCCACAATCCCGTCCCTACTCGTCGAGTCTAGCAAGAGCTCGACGAGTTCGCCTTCAACAACACATTAGACTATCTTCAACCGACTAGCCGAGTTCGTCCTTGAACTCGTCGAGTTCATCTTCATCCATATGAAGGTGTTCAATCTATGACTCGCCGAGTTCTTACTTGAACTCGTCGAGTCCGTCTTCATGCAGTTGAGACATTGCCTTGAACTCACCGAGTTTCTTCTTGAACTCGTCGAGTCCTTTGATCTTCAAGTCCATCACAGACCCCTAACAGGCTGAATGTTCCTTCCACTCAACCAAAGGCCATTTCCAAAAAAACATTTGGGGGAAAACGCGACCGACTCGCCGAGTTACCCAAGCGACTCGCCGAGTCCCTCTTTGTCCAAAACTATTCAGTCGATTATAATGGGTCTTAATGCATCAAAGCCATAGATATGACCTCCTAGGGTCCATTTTATACGTAAAGTTCCAATCTTGACGTCCATGCATGGGGGTTTTTGGCTCAAAATCCATAAAAAAGATGTATATAAGAAGCATGGGTCTCCCATGGCCATAAAGTTGGCACCTTTATGCCATGTGAACCCTCAATGGTTCCAGATCTGAAGTGTAACTCCAAACACACTCACAAAATTCGACTATAACTTCACAACTCATAAAAAGGGGGTAGAAAATAGCCCCAAAACAAGATCTAAGAGATAGATGGTCAAGGTTCAAGCTTTTTACCTTAAATGAACTGAGAATGAAGCAAAAAATCTGAATCCACAAGCTTCCACTTGAACTCCCAAGCTTCCTCCTTCTCTTCCAACTTCAAATGCATACAAAAGGCACCAAAAAGCTTAAAAACACTCAAAAGAGGCTTAGGGTTCGAGTTAGGGATTTCTCTGGGTTGGGAGGAATAATGGAGGCTGTGTTGGGGCGTTATAAGTTGTTTAAATAGGGTGCAAACCCCAAATATTAGGGTTTCATCCAGACAGCTTCTACTCGTCGAGTCGGTCTCCCGACTCGTCGAGTAGATCATTAAACTTCGGGGTAAATATCGAGTCTACTTGACGAGTTGGGCCTCCAAATCGCCGAGTCCCAGAGCAAACCATAAACTTACTTGAATTTAAATACGTACTAGGAACCGGGTGTTACAAATCTCCCCCGCTTATTTTAGACTTCGTCCTCGAAGTCTGCTGCCGAATCCGGAAAAAGCTCGGGGTAGTGCTCCCTCATCTCGTCCTCCGGCTCCCAGGTCAATTCCGAGCCCTTACGGTGCTGCCATTGCACCTTCACCAGCTCCACCCTCTTGTTCCTCAGATCCTTCGACTTCCGGTCATGGATAGCTACTGGCCTCTCAATATACTTCAGGCTGTCATCCACCTGAATATCCTCTAAAGGCACCACTGCTGAATCGTTTATCAGACACTTCCGCAGCTGGGAGACGTGAAAAGTACTGTGAATCTGACTGAGTTCGGCTGGTAGATCCAACCTATATGCCACCTTGCCCACCCGGGCTACAACCCTGAAAGGTCCAATGTACCTGGGGCCCAACTTACCCCGCTTCCTGAACCGAATGACGCCTTTCCAGGGCGACACCTTCAGGAGCACCATATCCCCGACCTGGAATTCCAGGTCCGAACGACGATTGTCGGCATAACTTTTCTGCCGACTCTGAGTAGTCTGAAGCCTGCTTCGCACCTGCTGGATCCTCTTCGTAGTCTTGAGTACCACTTCGGTACTCCCCATGAACCTCTGGCCAACCTCACCCCAACATATCGGGGTCCTGCACTTCCTCCCGTACAACATCTCGAAGGGAGGACGGTCGATACTCGCGTGATAACTGTTATTATAGGAAAACTCTGCCAAAGGAAGGTAAGTATCCCAACTACCCCCGAAGTCTAAAACACACGCCCGCAACATATCCTCCAGGGTCTGGATGGTTCGCTCACTATGACCATCCGTCTGCGGGTGAAAAGTGGCGCTAAAGTGCAGACGAGTACCCAGCTCTTCGTGAAACTTCTTCCAGAATCTGGAAGTGAACCGCACATCTCTGTCGGAAATCACCGAAACTAGCACTCCATGCCGAGCCACTACCTCCCGAATATAGATATCGACCAACTTCTCGGCCGAAATGCTCTCCTGAATCGGAATGAAATGGGCGCTCTTGGTCAACCGATCCACGATGACCCAAATCGAATCCACTCCCTGCGCGGTCCTGGGAAGCTTCGTGATGAAATCCATAGTGGTATCTTCCCATTTCTACATCGGGATATCCAACGGTTGGGTCTTGCCGTGGGGCCTCTGATGCTCGGCCTTGACCTTCCTGCAGGTCAAACATCTCTCAACATACCAAGCTACATCCCGCTTCATGCAGGTCCACCAATAATCAAGACGAAGATCCCGGTACATCTTCGTCGCCCCGGGATTGATGGAAAACCTGGATTTGTGCGCCTCCTCCATCAATACCTGGCGCACACCTCCATGATATGGGACCCACACCCTTCGGTGTAGTGTCAACAATCCATGACTATCATAATCGAAGGAGGAAGCCTGACCCACAATACGCACTCTTACGATGTTCCTCCTTCATAGCCTCTTGCCGGGCCTCTCGAATCTGCTCCAACAGCGGCGTCACCACGGTCATCCTCAAGCAGATATCTCTGATCAGCGTTGCCTTGCGGCTAAGCGCATTGGCCACGATATTGGCCTTCCCCGGGTGGTAGAGGATCCCACAATCGTAATCCTTCATCACATCTAGCCATCGACGCTGCCTCATATTCAGATTTGGTTGATCATGAGGTACCTCAAACTCTTATGGTCTGTGTAAATGGTACAACAGACCCCATAGAGGTAATGACGCCAAAAC